TGTGGCGGCAGCAAGATGGTGCGCCGCCACACTATACGGTCTTTAGTCTATGTCTTTTTTTGGTGGCATTATAAAATGAAGCATTATATTATTATGATTGATAATAGGGTTGACTTGTCTCAATCTGAAAAAACACAGAATTTTGAAAATGGACTTATTGCACTTTGAAAAGAAGCTTCTCATATACAGCGTGTTTCATGAGGAATGGTACATATATTAATATGTTATAGATTTGTTTATTTTAACAGAAAAGATCCTGTGCTCATGCGCTCAATGCTCAAAGGTAACTGAGATACAGCCAGTTTATCATAAATCTAAAGTATGCGCTAAAAAGATTAACTTTATACTTTTGGTAAAAGTTTATCTCCGGTCGTTGCGATAAGAGTGGTTTGTGCTGTGTACACTAATTAAATTTCGAGATAAGATAGCATAGGCGCGGTTTGATTTTCCTAAGACGCGCAGTGTTTTGTTAAAAAAGGAGAGGCGAAAGTCGAGGAAAGGGGAGAGTTGTTAAACATAAGAGGCAGGTGTTAATCAAGGCTTTTTTGGTGGTGGAAGTATAGCTGTTTGCTATGCGTTTTGTTGTACACTGGAGTTGTTTGTTTGGTGGCGTTTTGGTAAGGACAGTAACTCGTGATGTTAATAAGTTATGTAGAAGAAGTGTAGTGTGTAGTCAGCAATAAATAAAGTGGTGAACGTATTAACAGTCCTTTGGCTGTACATTTTGTATGCCCCTCCGTTTCGGTCTGGAGTTAAGAGAATACAATTTGCTATCCTGAAAAGTACAAAATGAAATAGACTTGCAGATTTTTATAATTTGAAGATAATTTTGGACTTTTGAAAGCCTGAGCTTTGAGAGCATCGCGTAACATATTCATTCGTCAGGGTTATTTTTATGTTATTAGGATCATTAGGAATGACGGTTAAAAATGCGTGCCGCTCAAAGAGATTTGCAAATTAACCTTAAATTAATACGGGTACGTTAAATCCTGTAATTCAGGGTGCGAAATGAAACAACAGATTAGAATATCTGTACTGCTCAAGGAACAAATTAAAACAATGTCTGATGGAACCCATAATCCGGTGTGGGATAAGTGTCGCCTTTGTACTTTGGAAATTGTGCAATGGAGGCGATGAAATTGTAACATTATGCATATTTGTACGTTAAATCGGTCTTAATTGCTAGCAACTCGAATGGTCAAAGTTTGAATAGCGTATAGCGATGGAAAGCAATTCACTTTGGATAACTGCGCTGGAAAATTAAAGCAGACGGCATACGAGTTGTAGATAAAAATGCAAGGAATATTAAATCTACAAATTATCCTGAGCACTTTAAGCCATAATTTCCAACCCAATCATCGATCGCAGATTATAAAAGTCCAATTTAATTCTCGAGCTTCCTCTTGCGTGCCTTGCTTAGTTAAAGCCCGCATAATTTACTATAACCATCTGAAAAGGAACGAGGATTACGTTATTTGGACATAAAGTACTTCGTATTGCAAGCAACGTTACAAAGTATTTAAACGTGCATTAACACCTAATCCGATTTTAGTGCCCTATAGGAACGTAAAATTGGAGCTCCATCTTCGGTTCATGATCGAGCATTAAATAGCTTACTGCTGAGGTGCTTGAATTTTATGTTTATATCTTTTAACGTCACGAAGTCAGTTTGTGTTTGTTTTTTTTTTGGTTACATTATACTTTTTTTGAGATATAAATCACGTTCGTGTCTCGCCTTCACGATAAGAATGGAAACGAGTCGGCGTGCACCAATAAGTTGAAATCTGTTTTCATCTAATCTATATCGAACGGTCGACTTAGCAAAACACCAACGTTGAAAATACGAGCTCAGACGTATATATACCTAAGGGTAGAACATTAGGCCACTGTATATCAAAGAAAGTGTATAGTTTGGCGACATTTTGGGGGTTCATTTCACAATAAATTAATTGACAAGTGGAACGGAATTCTTAAAACCGTGGTGCAAATGAAGCTGATCTTTGGCTGCGTCGTTTAATTTCAATAACGCTTTGTTTCTTAATGTATTTTGAAATGTAGTGATATTAATTAGGGATATTTAGTTACAAATGCGTTCTCGGCATGAGTGAGTGCAACAAAAAAGTTTGCGAGAGTAATGCGGTAATTAATCCGGGCAAAAGTTCCAAAACAGTTTTTCTATCGGAACAATACCAATGGACAATGCGTAGTTTCATCTGTCTATAAATAAAAATCATGCGGTTTTCCTCGAGGCAAAAATCTGTGTTTATTAAGCGTAATAGAGGACTACCGCTCAGAAAAATTCCATTGTGAGTCTTTAAATTGTACTCAACGGTTTGGTCCGAAATATATGTGTCTGGGCCCGTATAACTAGAAGAAAAGTGCCAAGAGAAGGATGAACTATTTGTGACTATGAAACATGGTCCTTCGAATCAAATAATATGATGTTCTTTTATGATTTACTTGTGACCTGCGTTGCTGTCTACAAACGTCCCTTTGGTTTGCTAACGTACATAAAGTGCGTGCAAAATTGTGGATTCTAATAAATAGCTGTAGTACTTTATCTACATTCATTTAATCGAATTATAACATGAAAGCATGAATGAGAATGGCAATACGTCATCTTTGAAGCAAAAATGAAAGTCCTTAATGGGAAAAAAGCGCGACGATGAGTAAAGAATCGAGTCAAGTGAAAAGGAAAAAAGAAGATTACAGTTAATGAATGAATATTACATGACGGCAGAAAGATATTTTAATATTTCCCTTTTTTCCACGTTTTCTGTGAAAATATCTTTGAAAAGAAATTGCGCTAATAGCATTATATACCTACAGAACAACCCTCCCTCGTGATTTTATCGGAAATTCTAAAAATAAATATGCTTTTTTCATGAATAATAAATTTATTACGTGAGGTCAGTTGACAAACAGGGATCTTCGGATACATTCATAATTAAGTAGACTAGGTCATGCCATGATTTCTCCAACACACGTGAGTTTATTGATAGATTTATGTGAATTATTTTTATTGTTAATGGATAGCTTGAGGTTGCGTGTGGGGGTAGGTAAATAAATAGTCCGCAGCTCTTGATTTATTATTTAAAAAAGTCCGCAAATTTTGTCAACGAATAAAAAGTACGGCGTACCATTTCAAACGACGTGTGTCATAATCTCCAGCTAATATTTTCGCTGACTCCACTTAGGACAAGTTATAATACATGTAGAACTAGCAGGATTGTTTCAATAAATCATCTGATATAGGAAGTGGGCCAAAGGAGAAGTTTTCTTATAAAGTTCATGTTTCGTGCAACGGCAGCTTGGATTTATTTTTTTCGAATTTTTAGAAAGTAGTAATTTCGGAGATTCTTACACATTCTTACACATTGTCGCAGGCTTTTGATGGGCAAGATTTGTAGGAAATTCTGAGTTTTCAAATAAAGGTAGCGGCCATTTTCGCTGCGTATTAAATTCTACGACTTGTTGACCTCATAATGAATTGCGGAATTCGTTCGGCTACAGTGGGTACTAAAAGAGATCTATCTCAGTAGGGTTTTAGTTGCAACGATAGCAGAGATCATTGTCCACATCTAATTCAGCCGAATTCCAGAGCGTGGGCTCCTTAAGGAACAATCTAGATTTCCTGCATTCAAAGGCGTTAATTAACAAGTAGTAGGTTGTAGGGATTAGTCTGGAATTGTTTGGGAGAAATTCGTTTCTGGGGGACCACCGCAAGAAAATTTCTTTCGAATTAGGGTCACGGGAGTGTTAATCGTACTGCTCAAAATGTTTTTCGGGTTTTGAATTAAGAACAGTAATCATTTCGATTTCATTCTGACATCTGTAAATGGAATCTAGTTCGTACTGATTTTGTCGTTTATATATTCAAAAGTTTAGCATAATTCAGTGTTCAATTTTGCGAGCATAGCAGGTTAGAAAAACCGGTTATAAAATTCACTTCCGGAGAGAAGTAACCCAACACAAAATCTAAGTAAAGGGATGACGTGGACCAAATAAATATTGTGCTAAGACAATTTTTGAAGTGGCTACTTCTTATCGCTCGGTATGCACTATATGTTTTGGACGGAAGTAAAATCCTCTCATGCGCAACTCCACAGAATATAGAGGACGCGTAACGCTCGGGAGCCGAACGCGAGCTTGGCGACCTTTAAAAGGAAATATGACATTAAAATCGTCGATGTGTCTTTGAAACTGACTAAAATACACATTTAAAGCCTATTTAATAGCTTAAATTCCCCCTTAAATTCCAACCCCGTTGCATTATCTCGCAGACAAACATTGACCAGCCTCTTCCGTGCTCCAGAATTGTAAGATTGTAGAATTAGGTGTAGCCACTGTTTACATTACGAGTGAAACGCCCTTGTTTTTTATATGCTAATTAGGTCTACATAACCAAAACTGCTGACTGGGAATTTCGTTGCAAGATTTAACTGAAGATTCTGGGAAAAGCACATTTTAACTAGCGTGGAATTTTGAGTTATGACCCTAGCTCCCTTTTAATTCACTAGAAGAAATAAATCGGATTAATTCTTCATTAAAAATGGACGATTTCATGAATAAAGCGCCATTTTGGGGTGTTAATTAATTAAAAGGGTTAGGTAGGGATTAATAGAAGGAAAGATTTTTTGGGCATTCGGTTTTGAGCCGGTGTAGAGCTAATTGCGAGTAATCAAAAGTATTTGGGCTTTGGCCGTGGTCGAACTAAAGTCTAATTGGGTTTTTCTTATCATGAGAACGTGAAGTGTTAGTGCTGAAGTATAAAAGTAGCATAACGGTACTTTAACCTGGGAAAATTCTGGTGACCGTGGGAAAATATTTTGGGAGTTAGCCAGGAGTGCGCGATCACATTTCGGCAATTGGCTTGGGGTGCCATATTTCGGCAGTTGGTTCAGGGTGATATATTTCGGTAGTTGACCCGGGGTATTTCGGAGGTTGGCACGGAGCTATTTCGGTAGTTGGCCCGGGGGTACGCGTCATCTGGGGCCCATTTAGGATGCTGTACCCGCGAACTTGGTTGCTGCATCCATCTCGTATGCTGGATCCACCATACTGGATGGTGGAACCATAATCTTGGATGCTGGACCCTGAAACGCTGAACTTTGAACTTGAATCATCAGGTTTGAGTTCGCGTTCACGTTCGCGTTCGAGATTGCGTTCACGTTTGGGTTCACGTTTGCGTTCAGGTTGGTATATTTTTTATCACTCCAGTGTCTCAGTAGCTGTATTTAAATGGATAGGAACCTAACCGCCATCTATTAGATTAATAAGTTCATCTAACGGTTAAGAAACTGTCTTCAATATTCAATCACAAACACATACACATATTTCAGGGGTCGGCAACCTTTGGACTTTGAACAGCGGGGAATGGACTTTAATCGACAGCTTAATCTAGTTTCTAAGACCAGCGAAAATAACGGTGTAGTACAGACAAAATATTGGATTTATCGTCATTAGTCTGACGTTAACGCATAACCTTAACCAGTCATTCTTCTTCCAATCGTAGCGAGTGTACATGCGAAGTGCTATGTTTGAATGTTTGTGTCTTGTGCAATGACGTTTTTGTGTAAGAGGATGCAACTGTGAACCTGGACGGATTATCGCATACAGGGCTGTCAGGGGAGCAGAATAGGGCCCGGTTTTTCCACCTCTTAATAACTCTACTCTCTGAATAAATTCCATCGATACCATTGTCGATACAATCGATTTAGATTACCCTGTACATGTTGTGTGCTTAAATAAATGCAATTTTGCACAGTTTTCAAAATGAATAAAGTTTAAACTACACCTCTTCAACCTGTAACTAAAAAATTGTTAAAGTCCCCGTAACTGAAGTGGTTACGCGCTAGCCTTCTATTTCAGGTATCGCAGGTTCGAATCCCAAAGCCATACCAATAAAAAAATCCAGCAATCACCGGTGACGTAAAAGTGTAGGGTCCATCATCCATGAAGTTGGGTCCAGCATCCAAAATGGCGGATCCAGTATCGGGTATAGCATCCTAGCTGGATCCAGCATGCAAGATGACGGGTAACCCCGGGCCAACTACCGAAATACCCCACCGCCAACCTCCGAAATACTCCGAATCAATTATCAAAGCACCTCGAGCCAACTCCCGAAATATATCATCCCGGGCCAACTGCCGAAATATGATCCCGCATCTCGGATTAACTGCCGAATTTGCATTCCGGACCAATTGCCAAAATTTGACCAGGGCCAACTGCCGAAATATTTTCCTACGGTCCCCATAATTTTCCCGTTACACTTACTTGGAAATCCGGGTGTCTGGGAATAGCGAGTCCGTAGCGAAAGTCGATCGTAATCAGCATACCTATGTTATTTGGGAAAGTTATAAGGGTTATCTTGGCGGAACCCCCGGGCAGTGGACAATAAAAACCACATGCTAGTCAATACCCGCGAAACATTATCAGGAGAATCTTGATGAGGCCAACTGCAGTACTACTTTAGATCCACTATCAATTAAACAATGGTAATTCAGAAGGTATCATTTGTACACGAAGGGCCTTACCGATTCTGTATGCTACGAAAGTTATTAATTTCAAGGACCATTATTTAAGAGGTACTGTAAAAAATTATCCTTTTGTTTTGTACAAAATTAATAATTGGTTCCCTTGAGTAAATGTTTCATTGACATTAATGATTAAAAAAATTCTTCTTTGTTTGAGTCTGGTACCAACCAGGCTAATTAGAGCCTGTTATTTTGTTATTTTAGAAAAAATTATTACCTAGGAGCCCATTAACAAGGATTTCTAATTTCCTTTTAAGGTTTGATTTGTTTTAGTTAGTGAGAATTTTCCTGTAAATGGATTCAAATTTAGTACTCGTAAAGGGTATTTTATTGTGAGGAAAGTCAAGCGTATTTTTAATTTTTCATGGTTACTCAAATAGTGGTAGTTACGAAAGAGTGGGGCCACGGTTGGAATTTTTTTTACCAGATTTCAGTGGAAGAATAATCACGTTATGAATAGAAAAGTGTAAAGTGAAGAGAAAGTTTTCGAAAAACGAAAACACCGACTATATTGTATTTTGTGGTAATTACTGATGTTCTATCTATGGTAATCTGTGGTATTCTTTTGAAAACCATGGTATTCTGTGGATCTTGCAATGTAACTGATGCTATGACTGCTTGAACAGATTTGATCTCTCATCGCCATTAAAAGTTGACTTTATACCGAAAGAGTGGGTTTCTTCAGGGCTCTGCGAACTAACTTTTTAAAGAGTCACGTCGCTACTCACTGTCGACTACAACAAATAACGCTAAATCCAACCTTCCAACCCTCCCACTTTCACATAGAACTTTTAAACAAGTGTCATCGTGGGAGGCAGGGGTTAGAACCCATTTGAACCGATAGGTTCCGGTTGCATACTTATATTCCGGGGTCAGTTACGGTTGTCTGGATATAGTAATTTTCGATTCCGGTTCCGGTTCCATTTTTTGTTCAGTTCTGTAAGGATTCTAGGAGTAGTAAAAGTCAAAATATTTATGAATAAACATAATTATTATTTTTTATACACACCTGCACGTTAGTAAGGGAGGTATTGCATTGGTGTAAAAAATGACCCCCCCCTTTTTTTTTACGGAAGTACACCTTTCACTCAAGGAACTAATTCCTTAGGTGGAATAACTATAACCGTTTTACGATCTGGTACGCAGGAATTGATTGAGAATGAAAATCGAACCGGTTCCAATGTCACTAATTTATTCAATAACGGTTCCGGTTCCAATTTCGTTTTTTTCCGATTCCGGTTCCAAGCGCTGTGGGCGATATATATATTGTTTGGAGTAAAGGGCTATTGTGGATTTCGGGGTCTTTATAGAATTTGTTGTGGTGTTTGGGGATGGGCATGGTACCTATGGCCAGGACTACCAAGTGGTACCACTTACGTACCAATAAGCTCCATTCTCTTTTACCTACTGCTAATAAATATGGCTCACCTAAAATAGCTAGCAACGAAGCGGTATCCCGCAAATATGTTAGTAGCCGTTCATCACATCCACTGGCGTGCGGCCGTACACACCTGGTTTCGTTAACATTCCGAGATGGTTCCGCGCAACAACTCGGCGGCATTTCTAACTGATATCCACTCCGATTATTATAGTCCCCTGGACCGGTAAGTCCACAACATTCGCTTTCTCTTTGCAAACGGTCCCATAGTATAGTTAGGTCACCCCCCGCGCCATACTCTTGCAACAACTTGATCCGCAACCCTGGTCTCAGCTCTTGGCAAACTCTATCGAATCGAAATGCCCAAAACGCGCCAAGTACAACGTCACCGAACAATAGCACCAATAACAGTAACCAATACGCATTTAGCATGCGTTCCGATAGTCGAACGGCACCAACACATCCCAGTATCTGAAGCGCTCCTCCTTGCGTAGCGAGGGCTAGGTAAGCGTACAAAAACGACGGCTGGTATAGCGTAAGCGATGGTATCAGGAAGCGGCGGTAATCGAAAATTAATGTCCTTGCCGCAGCTCCACAAAAGGCAATTGATCCAGCCAGCAGCGCCGTGTTGCACGTGTAGATCCAGAGGCGGTAGTAGCGCATGGCCCGGGTGGACAGCGCTCCTGCGCCCACAGGAGGTCCACCACGGTACCGCCGCAACGGCATCCGCCTCCGCAGCCCCCCCTCAGCCGCAGTGCCACCCATCGCCCCCCATGCACACCTGTAACAAAATTAGGCATTAGAATTATAATCGACAATTCCCCAACATCGTAAATACTAAGAAAAAGTGCTTATTCGAGTCACGCCGAGGGATTTTGTTGCGGATGTTCCGCAAAAGGCAAATAGTATATTAAGTAACAAGGGATTAAAAAGAGTTTTTGTTCCTGAAAGAATGGTTTAAAGCCCGAGGCTTAATAATTTTACGGCAACCGACAATAACTCCTATGGAACTGAATGTCAATTTTCCACGCCTTTGTAACATCTATAACGTAACCGGACTGAAGTCACATTAGAAATTAGATTGGAACACGAAATTTATTGAAATAAGATTCGATTTTAATGCCCTTTAGAAGGCGTCCATTTGGAAAGTTATCTAAAAGCAATTCAGTCACTGATCGCATTACATTAAGAGATTGGTACGAAAAAAATTACGTAACCGCCGTCGCCAGTTTTTTTATTCGAAATGACAAAATCAACGACAATCTAATTCTGAACTAAATTAGAACACGGAAAATCCACGGATTCCGTTTTAAGTAAATTGTTACTACTTTATTTACAGTTCAAACCGTGTACCTAGCCGACTCGTTCGCGATTTTGTTCACATGAATGAGCCTTGAATCGTTAAATTGCCCAAATTCCGCAGAAACACGAAAATCCCCTAAAAAGATTGGGGAATCTAGAAAATTTTTCCAGTTAACCGTAGGTTATTACTTTCGTATTTGTAAATAACTTTCTTTTATTGCAGAAATAAACAAGTTCGGGAAGATTTTCGTGTTCTTTCGAACATAATTGAGGGATTCGCGCTCATTGAACAAATATCATACTATACCCGAATAAAATAGGGGGGATACCTCCTCTTTTTAATGGTCAGTAAACGAACATCATTATATGACCACAGGCTATAGCAATTTAATTTATCTGTGATATCATCGTCTAGAGCTACATCCAATTTCGTAATGGTCACAGTTTTTCTTTGTTGTGTGCTATTTTGGAGTTCATTATGTATGTTGCTGCGTGTGAAAGGATGAAGCCGGTAATATTGGCAAAGTTTCTGAGGCGTAGAGTGAAAACGAACAGTTTGACTTTTTGAGATGTTAAAAAATGGTGCATTTAACTGGTCCGAGCATGGCGCAAGATGGCGGCGCGATGGGTGGCGAGATAATTACATAAAAAATAAATGGAATATTTATTGTGAAAGACAAGGAAAATCATAATATTGTATGTGGCTTTAAAAGAACGTATGCGCTTTCCAATCTCAGTATGAGATCGTGAAGATTTGGAGTAAAGCGGCGGACCGTCATTTCTGCCAATTGAAGACTGGACATCTTACACTTCACTGATCAGTCTTTATCAAAACGACAGAATGAAAGCACCAAAATTTGAATTTCTTCTTTATTTATTTTCCCAGCAACCATAACTTAGGTTTTCTGGGTATGTCCTCAATTTTTTAGAAACGTTTTCAACATTTAAGTTTTCTTTCTGACTTTGTTCACTCCGCTTTTTAAATAATAAGATTATGCACCTTATGCACCCATCGAATGAGGAGGAATCGTAGTGGCATACGCGGACGACCAAATAATTTTAGCAACAGAGGTAGAAGGGATGAAGGAAATGATGGGAAGAATTGAGAGGGGAAAGAATGGGAATGGAGTTAAATGCCGGAAAGTCGAAGATCATAAAATTTGGAAAAGGGGACCGAGGAAAGGGGAGGGAGGAAAGAGTAGAGGATGTAAGATATGTCTATTGCAATAAAATAATGGGGCAAATGTGCAAATAAAAGAACTAAGAAAAAAATGGAAGTGGCGAAGTGGCAGGTATAGTGAACAACAGAGAAGAGCTTCAAAAATGACTTTAGATCAAGAAAATACCTGTTCGATGCAATGGTGAGAGGGGTGTTTATATACGGAACGGAGATATGAGGGTGAAAGGAATGGGATTAGCGAAAGAATACAAAGTATTCGGGTTCAACCATTGAATAAAAACACTATAAGAAGCATAACCCCGTGGAAATAAAGCGCGACAGAGATTGAACTGAGAATATAATGGGAACACTGTCGATAGTGTCGATTCTTGAACTGAGAAGAATGAAAATTTGCTTTCCCCCTATTTACCTCAAAGAGAGTTCGGGGTCCAAACCAATGCGGGTGCAAGGGGATATGTCGCGCTTTCTTCCATAAGCGTTAGGCTTCTTATAGTGTTTTTATTCAATGGTTCAACGGAAGGACACCAATATCTGTATTAGAGAAGAAAACAAAGATGGAGAAGTTAAGAATAGCGTCATGACGCAGAGCGGTACAATTTGAGGAAAGTACCGGAAGAGAAAATCAATTAGTAAAAGAATCCTCATCACCGACAATGAACACAAAAGGAATGTGGCAAGAATAAGAGATAAATACTAGGTATGAAAGAAATGGATAAACACGAACTAAGTTCAAAAGGAGGGGAAGCATAAGAAGATGAGCTGACAAGCATGGACATTAACTACAGCAACAGAAGGTGAAGAAGGCTCACGAGGGAACAGTAGGTAAAAGGAACTAATAAGAATCAATCTAGTTACGATTGTTTCTGAGGTACAGAGTGACAGCGAAAAGTTTGACTTTTTGAGATGTTATCATATCTTATTACCAATGTTTTAGATATTTTATGTAGTTATCCAGTGGCGTAGTAAAAAATTTTTGGATATAACCCAAAGTTGGTATGACTTAAATGCAACACCCTGTATATATCTTAACGTTAATCCATCACCTACCTATATTTTTTTATAATGTCTGATATCTGATTATTTTTAAATTTTTTGGAATGACGGTCAGCCATTGTTATTGATTGCGATCGGCTGCATTAGTCACCATGGATACAATTAACGAAACAAAATCTCCATGAATCCATGGCCTACTATTAAAAAACCGTCAAAAATGGCGTTTGTATTTTTGGTTCATGGTTATAATCCAAAAATATGTAAGTTGCGACACATAAATGTACTCAGGAAAAAGAACACAAACAAATTGAAGATATACAGAGTGTTTAAATATACCAACTGTGGGGCATATCTCAGAAAACGTGGTCCAACTAATACTACTACTACTACGCCACTGGATTCTATGTAAACATAAATAGGCAATTGTTCACCTTTTTTCTATGTTTTTGTTAAACTAGATCCTGCTAATTAAAAAAACTGGCTTGTTGAAATAGATGACATTTGGCGGATTTTCATATTTTTACTTAAAAAAAGGACAAACCTTGTCGAAAGGCTTTACTATGCAACAACTGCTTGGTTTAATCACACTCAAACTACTACTTTTTCCGTTAGCTTTTACTAACCCACCTTACGACGTTATGACTTAAATCTCTCAATTCGATTACTTAAACTTTTTCTACTCATTATAATCACGATTAATTACGTCTTCAACTAAACAAATAAGGCCGACTGCCCAAAATAATCGTGTAAGAAATATCACGCACCCAGATCGTCACCAATAAAGAAAAAGTCGTCTTTAAATGTTGTCTTCCGTATTTCAAAGATCCACCACTTCCATCATAAAATAATCTCCTTTATGAATTTTCACATAAACCGCCATTACAATTAGACTTCAATAACCCCAGCTTCGACAGAACGCGTCTTGTGTCCCCACTTACGACGAGAAACGCGCACCTGAAGCTTCTTATCTGAACCACATGTGCATTAATTAAATTTTCCCTAACAATAAAACTTCTGATCGCAAACGAACAGATAAATCACGTAGAATTCGACCAGATGTGTCTTACTTCTAGCACCTTATCTAAATTGAGCAATTTACAAAAGCGACAAAATTAAAACGCAAAAATTACGTATCTATACAAATTACTAAAAGGAAAAACGAATAGTGAAATACAAATTCGAAGAGACGATCACACTTTGTGTTTATTCGTAAAACTCATCACATTTACTTTAAAAAATTGAAATACTTCACATACGGGGTGGGGTGACTCAACCGTTTGTACTGTTTTCTTCCTTTTACTGCGAAATTTTTATTAAGGGCGAGTTAATCGACTGTTGAATGTTAAATGTTTTGTAACTCCGTTATGAATTAATTGATTCTTTCACAATATGTAAAAATATACAGTGACAATCCCTCGTTACAGTAAATATTTGAATACATGAACCGGGACGTGCAATTGTGCTTGATATTTTAATTAATTAATTGTGATTATTGTTTAGTGATCCTTAAATTAATCTACCGCCGCTTTCAGATAAATGACATTTGGTATGTTGAGTTTTGCGGAAAATTTAAACTGTCTGCAGTCATTTTGAATCACCCGGTATAATCAACTCAAACAAGATGTTCGCAACACAACGTTACTAAATCGGAATATTTATATGACGTACAATTAAGTAAGCAAGAATGATAATCGGGCCAAATTCGTAAATAACACAGTTAAACGAAACGTGTTAATTGATTCAAATTGCAAATTAGCTATTACCACTATTATTCGCTTTACTGCTGTCCTGCGAATATTACCAGTAAATCAATATTTCCACTCTAGTTGTTCCGAACGAAATAATGGGCATATTCACTCATTGTCGTAAAGCTCTTGTAATAATATGAATTTGGCCCATATCCAGTAGGAATGTATGGGGCATGGGTTATTATTGAAGAAAACGATTAGCTTAAGTGGGAGAAGTTTCGCAGTTTTATGTCCTGACTAAAATTTCGTTTAAAAAATTGAAAACGCCGGACCCGATTAAAAGATAAAAGAATGTGACGCAATCTTTCCGAGAAATATGATGTACTTTAGAATGTTGAAGAACGTTCGACAGCACTTCAGTTTGCTATATCAGCAAATCAAATTGCGTTTCACTCAGTTCCAATTTCAACGCCGAATTGATAAGTAGCTCGTGCTGTTATAAATAGGGCATAATTGTGAGTGATTCAGGTAATATTTTAACTGATTTCAAGTCTGTTATAAATTTATTGTTAAAATAAATCACTTAATTACATTTACGGGAACCGCTATGTAGG